TTTATCCTAAGTAGCTCTAAGTTTGTAACATTATACATCTATTTATAATTAAGTTTTATTGTTTTATTGCCCTTTGAACCATGTTTAACTACTATCTGCACCATAAAAAAAGTTGTAAATCACTCAGAGAACATGCAGGTCACGTTACGCTATTGAATTACGTTACCCACGAGCTACTACGAGCTGTTTGTGTGCGTGCCTTGAGGAGTGTTTGGATTATATTATTATTATTATTACTTATTTTACCTAATCTAGTCTTAAATAACTTTAAAGATTCATATTTTTAGACTATAGTTACTTTTACAATAATAAATAAAGAATAAATATGAAAAACAAGAATTAAAGTACTTACCCAGTCTTTGTTTTCTTGCTCTCAATTGTCGATGACAGTAACGCCTAATTTTTTATAGTGCTAATAGTAATGCCCTTAATAATTTTTATTTAATTAAATAATGCACCAATGAATATTGACTAATAACATGCAAAAGTAGACAAATTCCCTTACCTCTTAAAATTTTTCTCACTTTCTAACTATCCGACAAGAGCTGTTACAAATTCATCCTGGCTAGTTGTTAACTTTCCTATGAGGACGATGTTGCTACTCTGAGTGAAATTGACTATTCTATATTCAGAACACAACGTTATACAATATGTCATTTGATAGATGAAAACCTTGAATTTCTCTTTCTTATAGGTAATATATAATTAAATGTAAGAGAGAACTATTAACAAATCCTGAAAGAGAGGATGTGGCAGGAGGGGTATGATTTTCTATTCGATAGCTCTGTAACCAAACAATATTGAAGACTATAAAGATTATTATTTGTCTGAGCAATAATGATTTTATAGAGAGTAATTTACATTTAATTTCATAGTTTTTCAAGGGGTGGTGGATAAAATAGGGATGATGATATGCTAAGAGAAAATGTGTCATGTGGGTCACATTAATGGAAATTCAGGATTTTTTTTTAATATTGCCTTGTAGAATTAAGAACTTAAAACTTGTATACTATCAAAATATGAATTATTAGCTAATATTATATGTTATTCTAATTGGTATAACATAAACAAAAAGTAGTTTAATATAATTTTGATTGTAAGACACTAAAACCTTGTGTCATGCGCAATAAAGGATACCTGGTGCGATAGAGTTAAAACCTACTTCCTTTTTCTAATTTCTTGTAATTATCACAGATCTAATCTTTATGCATTGGATGCCTCCCATACTTTTTTTCACAGATCTTCCATCATTTTATTTCCTAACCACTTGTTTCTTCCTAAAATTTGGATGGCTTGGGAAGGAGATTGTATCTTTACTACTATCTCTCTTCCATCAACTTTGGCCTTCTATGATTGTACTGAACTTGATCATCTTTTGTGTCCAGTTCAGATTGTTAGTATCACTTGGTATACACATCTCCATTTTGGGGTTCCCCCAATCGTTTATTCTTACCCTGGGGCCATCTTCTTCCAGGCATGTTTCATCCTCTATGCTTACAAGGTGAGTTTGTCAACTCATCTGGATTGTCTATTCTTCCCTGTATGGTGATTTTCACAGCCTTATCATGCCTCATTACACCAAACCCACCACTTAACTCACTCTCTGGCCTCACACTTTTAACATCCAACACCTTCATTTCCCATTATCTCCACCATCTGATAGTTTTGTCTCCCTCAGGATATTGCCTCCCTCTAGTTGCCATTCTCCATTCTACTCACCATTTTTAACAGGTAAGTGCCTCTTTTATTTCTTTCTCTGTTTATGCTTTTCCCCCATCCCATAGCTGGTGTTGCCTCACAGGGTATACTTACTTCACTACATTGAGTCAGGGGTAACAGAAAGCATTTTATCCCATCCCTGGCTCTTAAAGTGCCCAACATTGAGATGGGGTTGTCTGCAAGACTACTATAATGGCACACCTATATACATATATATTTCATTGTCCAGACCGTACTTGCTGTAAACTATCATGGAAAACTCAGCACTGGTGGAGTGTCTGCCCACTTCCTTGGCTCAGCATGCTAATTTTTCAAATTTTGTTTTGTGGTAACCTATTGCACTTTCTCCAGTAGATGATCTTTGCTGTGGTTAGGGCTGATTAGGTCTGGGCATCTCTCTGTTGTCTCCTGAATGGGAACTTCTTCCCTTTGGTCTTTGAGTGAAGCATGAGAAATCCTTGCCATTTCCATTTCCTGACTGCTGGGGTTTGTTGACTTGGAGAGTTCCTTACAGGTTGTTTGACCCCCTCCAGAAAGAGTCCAAGTGGGCAGCACAATGCAGTTGGAAGTACAGCAGGGGTGTCCATAACAGTTTAGTGCAAATCACCCCTATTATATAATATTTCAGTTTCTTGGTGGCTTGGCCAGCTGGATTAAGCAAAGAGTTCTCTTCATCTGAAAGGAAAAGACTTAGTCTCCATTTCTCTATAAAAGGTGAGTAAATTGTACAACAGAAAACATGCCAAACTGTATTGGCTTATCATTGCCCTAGCTACACTACACCTTGTCCAACAGACTTGTTGTGTGCAAATGTTCGGTGGGTCACATATTTTGATGCTAATCCCTGCACACATTGGTTCATTTTGCCTTCCTCCTTTCATAATTCCATATGTGCAAAGAGTAGACCCTTCATGAGATGAATGTAGTCTCCCAACAGCATTACACCTCTAGTAAGCCCTCACTATAGGGTGTCACACTTCATGGGCTTTGAATTTTTACTCCTTCAGTTGCCTTCCCCCAAAGGTAGCTCATCTAGGTTTTGGAAATTACACCAGCTCCCTCCACTACATCAGTGTAGGATTCTAGGTGCAATATATAGAGAGGTAAGCATATCATTTCAGAAGTTAACATTTTCCTTACCTGAAAATGTATTTCCAGTAGACACCTTTTTGCACACCTTCCCACCCTTCCTTCCAACTGCCAGTGCACATTATTTTTTCCTTGTCTAAGTATGAAGTTAATTTTGAGTGCAAGTGCCTATGGGATCTACTGTAAATGGAGGATATGTTGCTTTACTACTGATGAAGGGATATTGTTGCATGATGATTACATCATGCACTAGTACAGTTCACATTATAACATGTCTTAGATGAGAAATGGCTCAAGGTTAATGGTATTGCAAAATCTCAAAGGCAGGTGTGCAAGGAATTGCTACAGTGTGAAGAGAGGTAAGTATCTGTCAGAAATACATTTTCAGGTAAGGAAAATGTTAATGTTTGCTCCTTTAGTGACAGAACCTTGCTTCTTACCACTACTATTTGTCCATCTGATTGCTCATAAGTATTAATAATGTGGATCTTAAAGGCTTTAACATTTTTGTATTTTGATATTTCATTGTTTTAACATCACGTGTGTTTCAATAAAATCATTGAATAACAGATAACAGATTATTATTATTTTCTGTGATGATTAGTTTATTTGTTTTAGGAGAAATGACGTCAGTTAATTTCGGAATTGTCAAAGATCATAAGTTCTATTAGAAAACAAAAACATTTTATTGTTTTTTGATGCACAGATGTTGGTTTCATGTACACTTAGGCCTTTACTGTTGAGAGCTGTTTGAGACAAAAGGTTTTAGCACGAGATCCAGTCACTCAGAATCTCCTTGTACATTTTGACCTCCAATTATGGGCTTTATTGCGAGAATGTGATCAGCTGTTGAAAATGGGATTAGAATTACCACTGATTGGTCAGGTTCTTGTTACAAAGCAATCACAATTCAAGAATAATAGAAGTTTATTGCAGGTAATAATAGATATTCATTTCGCCATTTATGATCTGATTTCATGTTTAATACAGTTACTATTTTTGTTTTAATTATGTTAAATTATGTTTAGTTATTTCCTTTTTTGTAGATTTAAGTTTGAGATATTTTGCAATGTTTTGGTTCTTTTATTTAGTTTTACCAACTTTTAATTTTTTCTTAAAAACCTGTAAAGATAGTTGCTTTAAACTACCTTTCATGTTTGTACTTCAGTTAAACTGTATTTAGATTGGTATTTTTCTTTGCACTGTACATATACAGATGTCCAGTCTCATAAAATAAAATTTTACATAATGAAAACTCATGGGTATATTGCTAATTAAAGATTTAGTGTTTGAAACATGCATTTCTAAATAATATAAAGTATTTTGTGTCAATTGCAATATAAAGTGTAATAAAAGAATAAAATATCCAAGACAATCATCAAGATGGGATGGTAGTGTCAGTTTCAAAATCAAATCAATTTCAAACATCCTCAGGAATACATAGAGAAATTCTGAATGTGCATGAAGATGTAATGAGTAATAGAACAGTTCCAAGGCACTTTCAGGAATATGGTTTGAATAGAAAAGTTGCAGCTAAAATACCTAATTTATCATATTGAGCATGGTCAAGCATTTAAACTTTGTCAAGATAAAAAAAAATATAAAAAAACAAATGTGACAGTATACTATGAACTGATGAAAATAAGATTTTTTTTTTTTTTTTTTTGCAAACTTAAGAAAGTTTTTTTTTGGAAATGGTTACATCTTGAAACAAAACAATGAAATGTAGTGTTGGATCTATAATAATACTGCAGAAACATGGGATATAATTCAAATTCATGGTACTGTTAAAAAAAGAGCAGAATCAAAACACCCTGCATTGTTATGCATTGCTCAGTAGATAATAATTTAACTGGCATGATTTTGAATTTCAACAGGAAATTGATTCCAAACATACCACCCTACAGAATATAAGGCATTTGATAGATTAGGAAGGAGCTGATTATGAAAAAAGAATGAAATGGCCAGCCTAAGTCCTAATGCTAATCAAATTCAAAATTTGTGGCACTACTTGAAAATTATTGTTGCAAATAAAAACTTAATTAATCTGTGGTAATTTGGAGAGAATGCTGAACAGGAAATGGTAGGAAGTGCCAATTATTTATCTTAAAATAACTGGTACTATCTGTGCTTGTCTTGATGATTGCTTGTGTTAATGACTAGTTAAAGCTAGAGAAGAACAACCTACTAAATATTGGTTATTCAATTTATGATCCACGATAAACTTTTTTGTATGTTTAATATTGTAATATTGAGTATAAACAGTGTGTAACTAAAAAGCGGACAGTTGAGTCGAGCATGTGAAACGT